ATCGGTTCAAACCAGTTCAAGCCGATTTGATCCACCTATATTATTTCTAGAAGGAGCCCTACACGCGCTGCCGTCGCGTGTGGCGGGAAAACGAACGATTAAGGGGGATTCGATTACTTCCAAAGCTCTAATTCACCATATCATCTCAAATTAACGTAACAAATAGCCAAACACACGGTGAAAATAATCGAATAAAAGCGATCGAAAGCTTACCCACTGTGGATAACAAGAACGACAATGAACCCAGTAGGGTTTTGGTCAAATGACGACATTGAGTTCAGTGGCGGCGGCGGTGAGGCAAGAGGACGGTTGTGGCGACCAAAAAACGCGAAAAACTGAGGGAAGAACTTGAGTTTTTCGCCCCACTTTCGAATGTTCTTCCACGGTGGACGACGCGAGGTTTCGACGAGTGGAACCCTGTGCTGCGATCGGATTGACGTGGCGCTTCAGTTGGTGTTGGCGATGACACTCACCAGCGGACGGTGGCGTCAAACGAGAAGGGCGAGCCGGGCGGGTTTTCACTTTTTTACGTCTAACGGTGGTCGGTTTGGATTCGATGACGGTTGGGTTGAGGTCGTTGATTGCTACCGAATCTAATAGCGACGGCAGTGTACACCACCGTCAACTGGAGGTGGCTAGATCGAATATGAGCGACGGGGATGGCTAAGGATTTTGGGGGGATTGGGAAATTGGGGTTTGGTTTACGCTGAGGGGTATATGATTTGAGTATTTAACCCGAACCTAACTCTTAAAATTTATTTTTATTATTATAACTAACAATAGTGACTTAGGCTAGATGGCTAAGGCATGGGTGGTCATCCCCTAGGTTACGAGTTTAAGCCTCTATAACCACATATTTATCATTTTTAAATTTTCTCTATAGCCCAAAATATGGAAAATTTCACGACTAAGTCCCTAAACTTCTCAAAAAATCGAGATTAACCCAAAAATTTTCAAAACTGTCTCTTTTTCCCCTTTAATTAAATTAAATATTTTTAAAATTAAAATTTTGAGTGTGACAAGCTTTCTTCCATCAGTCACTTTGAATATATATAATAGATTCATCTTATATGTATATTTTAAAATTTTATGTTAAATTATTAATTAATTATACATGAAAAATAAATTAAACTTATAAATATTTAAATTAATTTTATATAATCTAATAAAATCATGTTCAATAAATAAATTATTTAATGAAATTAATTTAATGTTATAATATAAAGATTATAATTAATATTGAAAATAAATTTATTAATTTAATTATCATAATTAACAATTTGTTTTAACTTTTAAAAGTAAACATATTAATTATCATAGTTTATTATAAATTCAAAATCTCACAACTTTCTCAATTGTAACTTATAAGTCATGAAAATATCATATCAGGTCAATAACAAGTCGGATTATTTACAAGTTGAGTCAATTATAACTCAGGTTGATAACAGGTCGGGTAATACCAATTATTTTTCAGGTTAATCTCGGGTTCGGGTTTACATCAGTCGGATGTAGGTTGGGTTTGGTTATCATATTATCGATTCAATTTGGGTTCAGGTCATTCTCAGATCGAGTGCATGTCAGATTCAAATCTACAATTTCTAAATCCAACTCGAGTTCAAGTTAACATCAGTTCGGACCCGAGTCGATTTCGGACAATTTTAACTTAAGTCAATTTCAATCAATTTTATAGGTCGAGTCAGTTTTTTACATCCTACGGTGACCGTATATTTTGACCTTAATTGGATACTTGAAACGTTGCAAAAAAATTGCTGCGAAAATTGAAAATAACCTTACTTGGAGCTCACATGATACTAGAATGTTGCATTTATGATTTACCTTTTCATTTTGTTCGCATATGTTAATGGTGGAATTTGTTTGATGTTTGATCTTATGCCTTTTAAAGAGTTTTATTAATTAATTTTCTTTTTTTAAAGAGGGGTTGGCCGGTCATGATAAGGATGGATGAACTAACGATGTTTCCTGCCATTTTATACTTTTTAAATTAAAAGAAACGAATCAAAACTCTTTTGTTCGGAACATCTGAAAATACTAACCGGGGGACTCACCGGCCCTTCCTTTGTACAAACTGAATCTCCAGTTTCCCACTTTACATGGCTGAGAAAAGCAAGATTTTGATAATTGGAGGCACCGGCTATATTGGGAAATTCATAGTGAAGGCAAGCACCAAACTGGGGCACCCCACTTTTGTACTGGTGAGGAACACCACGATTTCTGATCCTGAAAAGTTAAAGCTGATAGAGATTTTCAAGAACTTGGAGTAGCAATACTTTATGTATGTTTCTTTCCTAATACTTTTAATGATTTCAATGGTTTACTGGATCTGAACCCTGAATTTTATATTCTTTTATGCTTCGATGGTTTGGGGAATACCACAGGGTGATATCTATGATCACGAGAGCTTGTTAATGGCAATCAACCAAGTTGATATTGTGATCTCCGCATTGGGCACACAACAGCTGGCAGATCAAGTAAAGATAATTGAAGCCATCAAAGAAGCTGGAAATGTGAAGGCAAGTTGTGTCAGTTTCATTTTCTCGGTTCATCATGTTATCTGCATTTTTTGTTGGCCTTTTGTTGAACTGAAGAGTAGAAGGATTTTAATTGAGATAATGAAATGGTGGGTTTTCAGAGATTTCTTCCATCAGAGTTTGGCATGGATGCAGACCGTGTCCACGCGGTGGAGCCAGCTGCGGGTGTATTCAGGATCAAGGCTAAAATTCGAAGAACAATCGAGGCTGAGGGGATTCCTTACACGTATATCTCATCCAATGCCTTTGCAGGACATTTCCTGCCAAATCTAAAGCAGGAAAATGCCACTGTTCCTCCTAGGGATAAGGTAGTCATACTTGGAGATGGAAATCCAAAAGGTATATCAAGCTTTGAGCGTTCTTCAACAAGTTTTGACTCTCTTGTGCTTAAAATTATACTTTGATTGTGAGGGAAGAGATTGAATATACTAATGCAAATTATATTAGATTAATGACATGATTGCAGCTGATAAAGCTATGGTGATTTTCCATGTTTCAGCTATTATTGTCCAAGAAGATGACATCGCAATCTATACCATTAAAGCAGCTGAAGATCCAAGAACCTTAAATAAGATTCTTTATATGAGACCCCCTTCCAATGTTTTGTCTTTCAATGAAATAGTCTCCCTATGGGAGAAGAAAATTGGCAAGACCCTTGAAAAGAGCTATGTTCACGAGGAACAACTTCTTAAGATCATTTCAGGTAAATCAGTTGCAGTAAACCTTTGAGTTCGTTTCCACTTATCAGATTCTATCCAAAGTACTTAAAAAATGGAGTTGGTGGCCATTGCCATTGGCGATATTAGTTTAAGATTGAAAGCTTAAAGCCAAAGTTAACCGTCCTAAATAGCTAAAATGCTAATGTCCAGATAGAAAGGATGCAATCCTCCAGTTGTCATCAACTAGCTGTGTTTGAGAGTTTAGGTTCTTGGTTTCTTTTAATAACGGATGCCAAGCTGTTTTATCCAATATTTTTTGCTTGTATCCGAAGCCAAAGCAATCGGCAGTTTCATTGAGGACAAACCAGAAAATGTTTTACTATATTAGGTTTGGGTGCTTTTATTTATTAGTTTCTTTAGCTTGATGATCCAAATGTTGAACTTTGGGTGCTTTGTTTTCTGCAGAGTCACCTATTCCCTGGAATTTCATTTTGTCGTTCAGCCATCCTATGTTTGTGAAGGGAGAGGCAACGAATTTCGATATAGAAGCTTGTTCCGGTTTGGAGGCATCTGAGCTTTACCCTGAAGTGAAGTATAGTACTGTTGATGAATACCTGGATCAGTTTGTCTAAAACATTAGTGGAAAACACAGCAACTTTGTATGCCTAATAAAAGAGACCAACAAAATACAGCAACTATGTATGCCTATCCTAGTACATGTTACTTGCCGGGATATCAAGGTTCATTGCAAACTGCCATTGTCTCCAATGGCGACAAATGAATTCAGCAAGTTGTCGATAGCTCCACCTGAGACGAAAATTTTGGAGTATTTTAACAATAAAATAAGACATGATTCTTCCTAATTCCTCCTTTCATCATGGAACTTTTAGTAAAAAAAATTGATACTGGAATTTGAGTTTTGATTGCTGGAAATTGGAATATGCCCTTCTAGTAGTATTAATGTTTTGCAGATCCTTCATTGCACATGCTACAACATAAAAGCATCATCAGATTTTGTCTGCGATCCAAGCTAGAACAGAACCATTCAGTGTTGAATAATTGTTAAATGAAATTTTGTTTCAGTTAATCCCTTGTTTGCAATCCAGATGACAGCATTTCGAGGAAATTATCCTTTTTTTATGTTTCTGTAGCACCTTTTACAACTAATAAAACCACAGATAAGGCTACCAGAAGTAGCTGGCCTTGTTTTATTAAGTTCAAAAGATCCAAAACATCATAGGCAGATACTAAAACATCATAGGAAAACAAACAAGTTTTCAGTAACTATGCGTCACCTTTACAATAGCTTCCGTGGAGAAAGATGGCATGCAATCAATGACAAGGACTATGTTACTGGACTCAGGACGAGTATCGAATACGTCTGACAAGGACTATGCGATCAATGACGAGTATCGGACTCGGAATTTCAGAAAAAAATGAAAAATCTGGTAATGAAACTTCTTTGTCTAGCACCAGCCAAGCAGCTAATGCAACAAAGAGACATAAAAGGATGAGACAAAAGCATCCTCGAAGGAAGCTTAGAGATTACTAGAAACAAAGAGTCCTGAAGTTGTGAAAACACAGGAATAAAACCTTCAAAGGGCATAGTTTTCATCGATGATATATGCTTTGTGATCATCGGATTCCTTAAATTCAGTATCTGCATCCACGTTTCTTTGGATAAAATTCCACCGAATTCTTGCCCCGTCTTAGGTTGTTTTAACGTTGTTAAGATAATCATATAAAAACCAAGTTGGCTGAGAGCTTTGGTTGTGTTTGAAGCAGAAAAAATATGAACTTGTCTCGAAGTAGCAGAGCATCTCTGCGTCATTCTTCTACTTCGATGAAGCAAAGGCGGAGCGGTTATGAGCCATCAGATACAGAGACTGAATGGCAAGAACATGACCAAAAAAAGAGAACGTTCATTCTTGTAGAGGCAGATAAAATGGTGTCCAATTTGCCAAGAAATATTAGCCCTTTGAAACTCAGCCGAAGAAATACATCAAAGGCTGAATATAACAATGGATCTCCTCCTAGAATCAGTCCCCTTCCAAGGAGGCACAGCAGCAAGTCTCCTTACAAGACAAGGACAGCGAAGAGTCGAAATGCTAGCCCCTTGTCGAAGTCAAAACGTGAGAACTGGAGGCATGTATCTCCTTATAATCATGGGAGAGAGGAGCATAAATTGATTAACGAAATGGGAAATGGTGAGGTTGCTGGCTTATACAGTAAGCAAAGTTGTAGAATTCCGACAAAAGATGAAATAGGAACAATCGTGCAGCTTCTTGAGGATGGTAGAGGGAGTGAAAATTCAAACTATAGTCGTCGATCGGTGACTGCACCGCCAAGACAAAATGAGGAATGGAGGAAACTGTCGCCAATCTCAAGGAACATGGTATGCAAGCAAACAGAAGCCTCCCTGGTGAAACAACAAACAGTAGGTGAAATGAATGAAATGATCGCCAATGCAAAGATTTCTAGAAGTCCCATGTATAATGCTTCTATGTTCGAAAGCACGGAGTCCATTTCACCCGGTGATATCTTCTTTTCCCGTGAAGTTGGAACCTTGGAAATGCAAATGCAAACCAATAAGTCGCCAATTAATGGAAGCTTTGGAAACCATGTACTCCCAAAGCCACCAATGTTTGAACATAAAGATTCTGCTTCTCATCAACAAATGAGAGCTAATGGAAACGTCAAGCTGAATGCCCAAGGGTTCTCATCAAATGCTGGCTTATCAAGAACAACAATGACTTCTACTTCAGCTGCTAACAGACATAGTAACGGTAAGCTTAGCACTGAAAGTAGTAAGATAAGTTATAGCAGTGGGAGGAGTAGTTGTGTGAACTCAATGAAGTTCACAGCAAATAGACTGAAGGGCCAAAGTGAGACCTGGTTTGCTTGTGTGATGAGAGGACCCTGCAGGACCTCAATGAAATCACCAGAAAAGCAAGATTTTGACGAGGCCTCTTTCATTGGGAAGGCAATTGTAGTTGAAAAACTAAGGCCGTTTTGGGCTGATAAATATCAACCGGCTTCTTTGAATGGATTCACCTGTCACAAACAAGAAGCTCAGCTTCTGAAGCAACTTGTAAGCCCTTACCTAATTTCCCATCTTCTGTATACGCGGATGTTTTATTTTAATATACAAAGCTCTTCCCTTATGGTTTGTTTCTCCTTGTAGGCATCCCATGAAAGTTGTCCTAATATATTGTTCAAAGGACCGTCTGGTTCTGGGAGAAGGGCACTAACAATGGCTTTCCTGCGAGAAATATACGGAGACCCTTGTTGGAATGTACGTCTCTAGCAATTTCTAACAGCATGTCAGATTGTTTTTTACATTTTAAAACTTGTTTAGACTGACTGTAGTCTTTCTTTTTTCCCTTTTTTCAGGTATCTCATGAAGTAAGAAAATTCCAGGTTCAGGTATTTGTATAAGCAACATTTCAGAGAAATATTAAATAAATTCTTAAAGTTCACATCACATAGTGTTCTATCACCATTAGATATCTGCATGTATTGTTCTTGAAAGCTATAGATATTTGATCACAATTCACAGATTTAGAGTTTGACATGTTTGTTATTTGAATATATAGGAGAAAAGGCCAATGCAGGTCCTTGTTCCACTCGCTTCAAGTGCTCATCATTTCGAGCTCAATGTAAACTTGGAAACAAAAGCTAAATATGCATTAATGGGATTAGTCAAAGAAATAAGCGCCGGTTATGCAATTACCCCTGAAATCAGCACTGCTAGTTTCAAGTCAAATTACAAAGGTTCGGTTCATTCTTCAAGCAAACTTCTTGAACAGTTTAAAGCAATCAACTCAAAGCCAATAATGTTGTGTATTTATTTCAGTTATAGTTCTTTATGATGCTGACAAGGCACCAGAGAATATTCATCACTTGATAAAATGGATTATGGACTGTCACTCGGATTCTTGTAAATTCATACTCTGCTGTGAAGATGACACAGATATCCTAGAATCAGTAACCAAAAGCTGCAAAGTTATAAAAGTAGATGCCCCAGTAACACATGAAGTAAGTATTCCTATAATTTGGTAATGTAAATTCTTTTTACATCTAAATGCATATGGCAATCATCATATATCAGCATCCCTCAAGATGGGGTACTACATGTAATTCAATATGCGACAGCGAGGGGTAAAAGCAAAGTAACATCCCTTTCTTGCTTTTCATAAAAAGAGGCATACCAACACTGGGCATTGGAAGATCTTCTTGTTAAACCACTCGTGATAATGATTCTTTTGATCAAATGACTTTCCTTGCCAAATTACTTACATTTAATCATGTTAACACTGTGGCTGTTAACTTTTCAGATTATGGAGGTACTTGTTCAGATTGCAAGGAAAGAGGAGTTTGACCTATCCATGGATTTTGTTGCCAAAATTGCTGCCAAATCAAAGCAAAACTTGAGAAAAGCAATCATGGCCCTTGAAGCCTGCAAAGCACACAAGTAAGAACTTGAAGCAAATCTCCCTACTTTTTCCAGTAAATTTATGAATGCAATCCATTTCCCCACCTTATAGGACTCTACCAATGCAGCTATCCTTTTGCTGATGGTCAACCAATCCCACTCGGATGGGAAGATGTTTTGATCGAACTTGCATCAGAAATCCTAGCTGATCCCTCACGTAAAAGGTAAGTTTGTTGTGGATTTTGTTCATATGGAAAAACAGAAGTGACATTCTGCATGATGTGATTCTATCAGATTGTTCATTTCACGGGGAAAGCTTCAGAAGCTTCTTATGGATTTTGTTCATCCCAAACTGATACTCCAGGTGATGAATTTGAAACCTTTAGAATAATTCAACGAAAAAAGTAACCAAGAATCTCAATTTTCTTTTGTTTTCCCAACATGCAGAAGCTTGTAGAACAGTTTCTTAAGCAAGTCGAAGCTGGTTTAAAAAGGGAACTCTATTACTGGCACGCTTACTATGTAAGCAGGCTTTCATGAACTTGTTTATATTGTTTAGCGGACAGACAAGAAGTAAACTCAAAGTTTATTGTTACAGGACAAGAGGCTGCCGACAGGAACAACTGCTCTGTTGAAACTAGAAGGTTACTAGATCTTAGTTGTAATCAATTATTAATCTTTCTGGCGCCACAAAATTCAGTTTATGTTTCTTTTTGGTGCAGAGTTTGTGGCCAAGTTTATGGGGATATATAGGAAGAGTTCCAATAATCCTCAGTGTGCGTAATATTTTGGGATGAAATATGCATTAGCTGCAGCGGATACTGGATTTTTCCTAATTGCAAAGAAGGGTCATGATCCTTCTTCAGTTCTTGTACTGTTGGATAAGTAAAATGAGGCTCATTTGTATCACTGATTTTTCCTACTTTTTTTGTTGTTGTTGTTGAAGTTGATATAATGGCTTTGTTCGAAATGAACGTAGCCCCAAAGATATCCCCGTCATTTTTTATCAACACAATTTCAGAGGATATTCGCATTAATCTTAAAATTTTGAGAGCCACTCCCACCAACAGTGGCCGAGTAATCCGTCACACAAAAATATATATTTGTCCTTTAAGGTTTATTTTATTTCGGCTATACCCTTTTAATATTTTGATTTTATCTTATATTAAACTATTATTCACGCGAAAGGAATGATGATAAAAATTTGAATTCGATCTGTTGTTACTCATTCTATTTTATTAAATTATATTTTTTTTTAATTTTAGGTCAGAAGTAAGATGATAAATTTTATTGAGGAAAGAGTCAAGTTAGAATTAAGTTGAATTTAAAATAAATAAAAACTATAATAATTATTATAATATTTATATACGAATATAATTACTATAATAATCCTTGTTTTTTGTTTAATTATCACTATCTTGTTAATTAAAAAAAAATTGATCTCTTCTCCGTTGACTCATTCTAGCCCCATAGCTCTTGTTCGTTCCATCACACCCCTTACGTCAAAGTCATGGATTCTAGATTTCCTTCTCATTCACCGCGAAGCAAATACCGCTGCTGATTTTCTTTCCAAGTCTACTATGAATAATGATGATCTCTCACGCATTTACTCAGAAGCCCCGGTGGAGATCACCCCTCACCTTTTTTGCGACCTCCATGATCTGGCTTTCAGACGTAGTTAATCCTGCTTTGTAATGGCCTGTGGTCTCCTTTTTATTCAAAAAAGAAAAAGAAAAAATGAAAATGAAAAATACATTTAGATTTTAGAATAATTTGTTTTTAACTCGAAAGCCTCAATATAATCGGATCAAATTAATTTAAATTTATTATAACATTAACACAATATTTGTTATCACATTAATATTAAATACTTGAATATTCTCTCATTTCCCGTAAGTTTCACTTTTGAGCTTTGAATCCGTTGGTTTTGATATTTCATTAATCCTTTTATTGCGATGATTCTGATTTTGTTTTTCATTATATAGAGTTTTTTAGTATTGAAAGAAGCATGGAAAACAATGGCGAAGCAACTAGCGGGAGGAGCGCTGGATTCTCTCGCGTTGTTCTCAATGAAAGAATCCTTTCTTCGATGACTCGAAGATCGGTTGCTGCTCATCCTTGGCATGATTTGGAGATCGGTATAATATTTTTCATTTGTATTAGTAAATTAAATCAATTGTCGTTGACTCGTTAAGTCCGTATCTGATTCTTACTTCAACTATGTTTTATTTATTGATGCAGGACCTGGTGCTCCAGCAGATTTTAACTGTGTAATTTTTTGTTATTTTATTTTGCTGTTATTCAAATTTAAGTTTCTGGCTTTGCAAATCGTTGTAGAAATGCATTTTTAATTAATTAATTAATTCTTATTTTGTTGAAGGTGGTTGAAATTGGAAAAGGTAGCAAGGTCAAGTACGAGCTCGACAAGGCCACTGGTCTTATAAAAGTAGAGTTTTCTCCTTTTTTTCAATTAAGAAAGAGATGGTCAAATTAATCGTTGTTCTTCTTAAATCAGTCACCGTCATCTTTGGAACTAACTGATATATGAGTTCTTTTATATCTCTCTCTATGTGTATATCCATTTCTCACCAGTAATATCAATTGAATCATGGCTCTATTAATGATCCTTCTTTGCTTAGATCTTTTTATTATTGCTAAGATGATTAACTTTTCCTCTAATGAAAAGATTAGCTAATTGTTGCTTTGAAACGAAGAAAATGATGGACAATTCTCTTAAAAACCAGGTTGATCGTATTCTGTACTCATCAGTTGTTTACCCGCACAACTATGGTTTCATTCCAAGGACTATCTGCGAAGATAGTGATCCTATGGATGTCCTGATACTGATGCAGGTACTGTCTGTTACTCTGATTCATGGTTTTCTCTAAGAAATAATGTGGGGTTCTTTGGGTTTCAGCTGAACAAATTAACAAGATTCTTTGAGTTATATTTTTTAGGAGCCTGTATTGCATGGTTCTTTTCTTCGTGCCCATGCTATTGGGTTAATGCTCATGATTGATCAGGTAAATAGCTTCATCTTCATTTCTTCTAATATTTACTTGAACAGGATATCTCAAATGCACTTGTTGCTGTTCAGAAACAACAGGAATGGAATTACTCTAAGTTTCAACTATCTAAGGATGTAATCCAATTAAGTTTTCTTGTGTTGGGTTACTAATTGTCTGTAAACATCGATCTTTTGTGTGTTATATTACTCATCCTGCTCCTGTTTAGTTGAGTTGAGTGATTGAGTCCCAAATCCAATGTCCATGATAAGTCAAAAATATCGAATGAAAATCATTGACATTTTAAGTTTCATGAGATCTGCATGATCTTTTCCCTGTTCCCTCTCAATGTCAAGTCATTCATTGTTGAGATGCATTTTGCAGGGGGAGAAGGATGACAAGATAATTGCTGTATGTGCTGATGATCCTGAGTTCCGTCATTACACAGACATCAAACAGCTTCCTCCCCATCGTCTGGCTGAAATCCGCCGCTTCTTTGAGGATTGTATCCCAATCACATGTGGATTTAATCTTTGCTTCTTAGTAGTTTGAATTGCTGCCATTGTTGGTTTTTTTTTTTTTTGGCAATCCATCAATCATATGGTCAAACTCTTTTACTAGTATCTCCTTCACTAATCTTGAATAACAGACAAAAAGAATGAGAACAAGAAGGTTGATGTAGAAGACTTTTTGCCAGCTGAGACTGCTATTGAAGCCATCAAGTATTCCATGTGAGTTGGTTTGAGATCAGAACTATTTTTCATCTTGTTTATAGATGTTCTCTAACTTAAGAACAAGATTTCTGGTAATCTATCTATCATTTTTTCTTGTCTTACCTAAAAATTCCATGTTGTAGGGATCTATATGTGTCTTACATTGTTGAAAGCTTGAGGAAGTGACCGTCTTCGCCACTATTTTGGTAAAAATTACAGTAAAATTTTACTGATTAGGTATTATATAAGTATAGAATAAGTGTTGAAAAATGGTGCCATGTGCACCGAAAGCAAGCATTAAAATGCTTTGTCTTTGGGTGCAGAAAATATATATATATTTTTATGGTAAAATTATTTTTAGTCATTATAATAGGGTATTTACAAATTAATCCTTAAGCTGCAACTATAAATAATCTAGCTCATTTAACTTCAAAACCATCCCAAAGCATTCTAGCTTTCTTCCAAAACTAGAGAGAATTTAGAGAGTTTCTTGATAGTTGTTTTCTCCTTTTTATTAAGAGAGAATTATCATTGTTTTCTCCTTGGTAGATCGAGAGAAGTTGTAATTCCTATTTTCTCATAGTGAAATTCTTCTACCGTTGTCCGTGGTTTTTACCCTATATTATTTAGGGGTTTTTCACGTAAATTTTGTGTCTTTTTTATCTTCATTTTTATTTTCTCAAATTATCAGTTATGATTTTGTTCTATCCGATAGCTGTCCGCAACAATTGGTATCAGAGCTAGATTTGAATGTGTAATATATGTTTTATTGTCTTTGTGGTTCTCACCAAAAGGTGGATCCTCCAACATAAGAAATTAAGAATGTATTACCCATTCTTTGAAGGTTCTAGAGAACTATTCACAATAGTGAAATAGTGGGAGCTATCCGTAATAGAAGCTATGACAACAAAATTTGATATTGAAAATTTCAATGGGAGAAATTTTTCATTGTGAAAATTGAAGATGAAGGTCATCCTGAGGAAAGACGGTTGTCTAGCAGCTATCAGTAAAAGGCCGGTGGATTTCACAGATGACAACAAATGGATCGAAATGGACGGGAATGCTATGACAAACTTTCATCTAGCATTAGCAGATGAAGTATTGTCAAGCATCGAGGAGAATAAGACAACTAAGGAGATATGAGATCATTTCACCAAATTGTACGAGGCCACATCGTTGCACAATAAAATTTTCCTTAAGAGAAAATTGTACACTCTGCGTATGCCAGAATCTACTTCAGTGACGGAGCACTTAAATACACTGAATACTTTATTTTCTCAACTTACATCCTTAAGCTGTAAAATATGAGAACAAGAACGTGTTGAACTTCTACTTCAAAGTCTACCGGATTCGTATGATCAACTCATCATCAACTTGACAAACAGTAATGTAACCAGTCTAGTCTTCGATGACGTTGCAGCTGTTGTTCTACAAGAAGAAAATCGGCGTAAGAACAAGGAAGATAGACAAGTAAATCTGCAATAAGCAGAAGCGTTGACAACGATGAGAGGGAGGTCAGCAGAACGTGGCCAAAGCAGCAGTCACAAACAAGGTAGATCGAAGTCGAGGAGCAAGAAGAATTTAAAGTGCTACAACTGTGGAAAGAATGATCACTTGAAAAAGGATTGTTGGAGTCTAAATAAAAACTCCAATCCCAAGGCAATACCACAAACACTTCAGATGATGGAGATGCTCTATGTTGTGAAGCGTCAACCACCATGGAAGGTAGAAAAATATTTGCAGATATATGGGCTCATTGATTCGGGAGCAACTTATCACATGACCTCAAAAAGAGAATGGTTCCATTATTATGAACATGTCTCAGGAGGATCTGTGTATAGTTGTAGTTATCATGCCTTAGAGATCGTTGGCGTGAGAACCATCAAATTGAAGATGTATGATGGAACAATTAAAGTTGTTCGAGATGTGCGACACGTGAAAGGCCTGGAGAAAAATTTATTATCCTACAGATTGTTGGATAATAATGCAAGCAAGATTGAAACACGGAAAGGAATCATGAAGGTTTTCCATGGAGCTCTTGTAGTGTTGAAAGGTGAAAAGATAGCAGCAAACTTGTATATGCTAAAGGGAGAGACTTTACTAGAAGTAGAAGTCTATGTTGCCTCATGTAGTCAGATTCTGCAATGCTATGGCATCAGAAACTTGGACACATTTCAGAACAAGGAATGAAAGTCATTGTGGAGCAAAATCTACTTCCATGCTTAACAAATGTATCACTTACTTTGTGTGAGCATTGCATAACAAGTAAGCAGCACCGGTTGAAATTCAACACATCAAATTCTAGAGGCAAAAGTGTTCTAAATTAGTTCACTCTGACGTATGGAAACACCAGTTACATCCCTAAGTGGAGCAAAATACTTTGTCTCATTTATTGATGACTACTCCAGGAGATGTTGGGTGTACCCTATTAAGAAGAAGTCAGATGTGTTTTTAACTTTAAAAAACTTCAAAGCGCGGGTGGAACTTGATTCTGGAAATAAGATCAAGTGTTTCAGAACAGATAATGGAGGAGAATACACAAGCGAAGAATTTGAAGACTTTTGCATGAAAGAAGGCACCAAAAGACAGTTCACAGTGGCAGACACTCCTCAACAAAATGGAGTGGCAGAGCGGATGAATAGAACCTTGTTAGAAAGAACAAGAGCAATGTTGAGGGATGCATGCCTAGAAAAATCAATTCTGGGTAGAAGCAGTCAATACCGCCTGTTATTTGGTGAATCGAGCTCCATCAACTGCAATAGAGCTAAAGACACCAATGGAGATGTGGACTGGTAAACCAGCTGATTATTCAAACCTCCATATATTTGGAAGTATTGTGTACGTGATATACAACTCCCAAGAAATTTCAAAGTTGGATCCAAAATCCAGGAAATGCAAATTCTTGGGGTATGTTGATGGTGTAAAAAGGTATCGCTTGTGGGATCCCACTGCCCACAAAGTGATCATCAACAGGTATGTTATCTTTGTAGAGGATAAACTACAATAAAAAGAAGACGATGATAGCGCTGAAAAGTCAGAGACTACACAGATAAATGTGGAAAAGGAGTTTGAACAAGGAGATTCTTCTGAAGCAGAACCAACACATGATGAACAAGAACCAGAGAGTTCTGAAGCTCCAACAACTCGTCAATCAGATCGTGTGAGAAGACGTCCCAATTGACACTCAGATTATGTTATAGAAGGTAATATTGCATACTGCCTTTTAACAGAGGACGATGAGCCATCAATATACCATGAGGCAATAAACAGCTCAGATGCTTCACTGTGGATGATGGCGATTCAAGAAGAAATTGAAGCTCTTCATAAAAATAATACATGGGACCTTATGTCACTACCACAAGGAAGAAGCCAATTGGTAACAAAGTCTTCAAAATCAAGCGAAATGGTGATGATCAAGTGGAGAGGTATCGTGCAAGACTAATGATCAAAGGATATACTCAAAAAGAAGGTATTGATTTCAATGAAATCTTTTCTCCTGTGGTTCGACTAACAACAGTTCGTGTAGTCTTGGTAATGTGTGCTACATTGAATTTACTTCTAGAGCAGTTAGATGTTAAAACAACTTTTCTTCATGGAAATCTTGAAGAAGAGATTTATATACTCAGCCTGAAGGATTTGAAGAAAAAGAAAAGAAGAACTTGGTTTGTAGGTTGAACAAATCTCTGTACGGTCTAAAGTAGGCGCCGAGGTGTTGGTATAAGAGATTTGATTCTTTCATTATGTGCCTTGGATACAACAGACTTAATGCAGACCCTTGTGCTTATTTCAAGAGGTCTGGTGATAACGATTTTGTTATATTGTTGTTATATGACATGTTGGTTGCAGGACCCAACAAAAATCATATTGAAGAATTAAAGACACAACTGGCTAGGGAATTTGAAATGAAGGACTTGAGATCAGCAAACAAGATTCTAGGGATGCAAATTCATCGAGACAGAAGTAATAGGAAGATTTGGCTTTCACAAAAGAATTACTTGAAAAGATCTTGTCACGATTCAGTATGCAAGATTGTAAGCCAATTTCTACCCCTCTTCCTATTAACTTCAAATTATCCTCCAGTATGAGTCCTAGCAGTGAAGAAGAGAGGATGGAGATGTCTCGAGTACCATATGCATCAACAGTGGGAAGTTTAATGTTCGCTATGATATGCACAAGACCAGACATTGCACAAGCAGTGGGAGTGGTTAGTCGGTACATGGTGAATCCAGGCAAAGAGCATTGGAATACAGTAAAAAGGATCATGAGATACATCAAAGGGACCTCAAATGTTGCATTATGTTACGGAGGATCAAACTTACTAATCAATGGGTATGTAGATTCTGACTATGCAGGAGATTTGGATAAAAGCAAATCTACTACAGGATATGTGTTCAAAATTGCTAGTGGAGCTGTAGTTGGGTTTCAAAATTGCAGTCAGTTGTGGCTACATCCACAACAGAGGCAGAATATGTAGCAGCTACAGTAAAGGAGTAATTTGGTTGAAGATGCTATTAGAGGAGCTTGGGCACAATCAAGAGTATGTCTCTCTGTTTTGTGACAGTCAAAGCGTCTTGCATTTAGCAAGGAATCCAACATTTCATTCAAGGCAAAGTACATACGAGTTCAGTATCATTTCATTCGTGAAAAAGTAGAAGAAGGGACGGTAGATATGCAGAAGATCCATACCAAAGCCAACATAACATATTTTATGACGAAGGCAATCAATGCTGATTAATTTTACTTGGTGTCGATCCTCTTGTGGCCTGTCAGAGACATAAGCAACATAATGGTACAAGGTAGAATGAATGGTGTGACGATATGATTGTTCTAATCATATCTTCAAGTGGGAGATTGTTGAAAAACGGTGCCATGTGCACCGAAAGCAAGCATTAAATTGCTTTGTCCTTGGGGGCACCAAAAGGTGCAGAAAATATATATATTTTTATGGAAAAATCATTTTTAGTCATTGTAATTTAGGGTATTTACAAATTAGTTCTTAAGCTTCAACTATAAATACCCTAGCTCATTTAGCTTCAAAACCATCCCAAAGCATTCTAGCTTTCTTCCAAAACTAGAGAGAATTTAGAGAGTTTCTTGAGAGTTGTTTTCTCCTTTTTATCAAGAGAGAATTATCATTGTTTTCTCCTTGGTAGATCGAGAGAAGTTGTAATTCCTATTTTCTTATAGTGAAATTCTTCTACCGTTGTCCGTGGTTTTTACCCTATATTATTTAGGGGGTTTCCACGTAAATTTTATGTCTCTTTTATCTTCATTTTTATTTTCTCAAATTATCAGTTGTGATTTTGCTCTATCCGATAGCTTTCTTCCGCAACACAAAGTTTATGTTGCATGCCTCTCTTGGTTAAACTTGCCAAATACTCATGTCGTCATATTGCTCTATGTTGCAAATGTTATATGCTTTTTCAATAGAATGCTCTCCATTGTTTATTAAACTATGATCAATGGAAAGGGAAGAAAATATTCCTCTTACTATTTGTTTTTATACTTGATTTAACGCATCTGATGCGTCTATCATAGAATTAAAAATTTTACTTTTCCTCTTACACAGAGATAAGGTGCGTGATGGATAGAAAAATGTTCGGCTTTTATTCAATGTTAGACTTGTACTCGATCATTTTTGAAAGATTAGGTCCTATTTTTACATTGTCCATGATTCCAGGACATTCCTTGAGAGTTTCACTCAATTTTAGTTACAACTATGACTGTAAACGAGCTAACTCATGCTCGAGTAGTGTTATGCTCCATTCAACAAGTAAAATTAAGTTCAATCAATTTAAAATTTTCACAAGTTTAAAATTATCAAGTACAACTCGAATTCGAAATAAAAAAATTGAAGTTTGACTAAACTCGAAAATCTACGAGCGTAAAATTTTCAAGTTCAATTTGAAATCAAAAATTGAAGCTTGACTCGAGTTTGAAAAAACTCGAAATATTCTTAGATTTAGTTCGATTGAAGCTTAAATTCTAACTTGAACTTAAATCTTAAGTATATAAAAGTTTTACATTATATTTTTTAAAAAATAACATATAAATGTTAATATTAATAATGATTTAATTTAAAAAATCTAAAATTCTAATATATTTTAGCTGCTCGTGAGTTTTTCGAGCAGGATATTAAGTAATTTGTTTTGGCTCGTTAAAAATTTTAACTTAATTTAATCTTACCATTTTTTATATTTAAAATAATGGTAAATTAATACATGTATACTAATATTTTAAAAACTTAACTAAATATTTTAAAATTAATTAAAATCTAGAGAAATTCCTCTTAAAAATCTTAACTAGGGTTTATTCTATTTTTCTCTCAGAAAAATATTCTTATTATATATTTAATTTGCAATTATGATTGTAAAACTTATTATAATTTGGATATTTTATATTTTTAATAAAAATCAACGGTTTCTATAAAAAAATCATTAAAATCTAAACTATAATTTAAAAATATATTGAGTAAGTACTTTTTTTTATCAAAACGAACTTAATGGCAATGCCTTATTTATTGTTTGTACTTTTTTTTCAAATGCAATAACTGAGGAACAACACATTGCAATGGCATTTATACAACCAGACTCGAAGGTCAATCAAGTATTTGCAATCAACCGATGGTGATTCTAATAGGGTTAAAATCCAATCGCTCGGTCTTTTTTTTTTTGGTAAAACAGATTAAATTAGAGCCTAGATAGTAATAGAGCAATCTTCCTGCAATATAGCAGCCATTTCCATCGGAGGATCTGAAAAATCGACAAAGCCAATAGGAGCACCTCGACTCATGGCAGCTAGGTAGTACGCACTTTTTGAACAGTATATGTAGAATCTTAATATTCCAATCACGACTCTGGAGCTCAAAGATGGCCTCACCAGCGCGTTTTCGATTAAAGCTTCAGAACAATGATTCCATAGCTTTGTAACCTCAAGGTTATCCGTTTCCAGCTCGATTTGTCTGAACCTCAGCCTCCAAGCATGCAATAATAAACCATAAACAGCCCAAAGTTCAGCTACGAGGATTGAACATCTTCCCAAGCTACGAGAGAAACCATAAATCCAGCTCCCCTCCGAATCGCGTAACAACCCGCCAGCAGCTGTCATACTGTCAGTTTGTCTTACAGCTCCATCCGAGTTTGCTTTGACCCATCCATCACTCGGTTTGCACCACACTAGCGAAGATCTCACTGGCAAAACTAAGTTGTTTGTAGCAGGTACGGCGGCCGCAGCAAAGTCACCGGCAATTCTGTCGCAATGGAAAACAAAGTCTTCTCTCTGAACATATATAGTTGGAATCAAAGATTAAATTGCAGCGGTGTTTCCATAATTTCCAGCAGTAAACCGCGAACCTGATAGGCCAGTCATCTTCATTCACGGCCATCCTATTCGAGAAGAAATCCAATAGCCTCCCATGTCGAATCATTTTACCCCAAACATATTTATCCTTGCTACAATGTCTTAAAATATGATTCGTATCTTCCGCCCCCAAGTGACAAATCTAACACATATCCGAACTCGAAAGGTGAAGACGAGCACGTTCGACGTTGGTGAGTAATCGGTCGTGCATGGCTAACCACAAAAAGGTTCGAACTCGTTGAGGGACCTCTAACTTCCAAATTCTTTTCCAATCGGTCGTGCTCGGTCTTTTTTTAAAATTAAACAAATAATTTAAAATATTTTTCTACAAAAAAAAATCATTACAATTTGTTCAATCAATTTCGAATTTATTTTTAACTTTTTAATTATTTTCTACAAAACCCTACTTGCCAGCAGGGCATGCCACGATCCACGGTTCTAGAAGACCTTTGAAAATGAAGAGTTGCGGGATTTTATTGTTCGAGTGAAAGGACAATAAATATTACAATATTAAAATGTTTTAGATGGAGTAAAATTCGAGCAGACTACTTTCTATCGATTAAAAATATCAAAATTTTGAACTTAAATATTTTGAATATATAAATCACTTTAAATTTAATATACTTTTTTAATTTTATTTAAAAAATATTTTAATTCAAATTATAAACTCGAATAATTTTCAATTCACATTTAACTAACATAATTCGACACAAATCAAGCGGCCTCAATATTTAAGATATTTAATTTATAGTTATTTCTTGAGATCATGATTTCGAATACCGCGTATGCAGGGATATGAGCGATCATTGTGAAAAGATTGAGTCTTTAAACAAATATTACCTTATATTCACCGTAGATTTATTAAAAAACCTAACACGATTCATTATCTAAAAAAAGCAGATAACGTCGTTCGAAAATTAGTGAGATAATTTAGAGATGAAATTGAAATTAGTATATATTTATTTAAACAGATACTAATTTATAGTTATCCAAATTAATAAAAAGAATTAAGGTCATGTAATTTGATTAAACTCAAAATTAGTATATATTTATTTGAAACAGAAGCATTTGTAAGGAAGTTTCACCGAATATTTTATGCTTTAAAGGTTACAAATAGAAAGCAAGAAACATGTTTTAGTGACGATATTGGATCAATTGATTATTGCGGATTTTTCTCCCTCTAAGCGTCACCTAACCAAATATGTTGGAGTATAGCGACGAAAGTCCAAAACAGAGAAATTTCAAAGCCGAAGAGGTTGCAAAATCTGACCAACGTCAAACACTAATTTTATCATGTTCAAACTACAAAGGCACCAAACGAAACAACCACCCATTTTAATCATATACTGCGTGCAATTATTTCAGTCTCGTCAAATATATAGTCTTTGCTCTATAACTAAACTAAGCTTTATCTTCTCATCTTCATTCACATCACACCATGCCATGCTTAGAGCTTTCAGCACTAGAAGAAACCGTAGTGGCTATGAAAGGCTGCTCGTTGAAACCGACGAGCCTGTTTCGAGCAATAGTCTGTTTGAAGCACAGTTGAAGAGAGTTAGAAGTGTGCCGGCTCGAGTTTTTGGTGTATAGAGAAAATTTATCGCCTCGGAATCGGTGATACCGGAGAAGGGTCGAGTGAAGTCGACAACGACGACAACCGAGACAAACAAAAAGGGTGCCAAGTCCAAGAGTGTTCACCCACTTTTCAGCCTGTTTGATGGTCGTCGCAAGAAGAAAACAACAGCTAAACCAGAGTTTGGTAGGTACATAGAGTATCTTAAAGAAGGGGGGATGTGGGACAAGAATGCTAATATGCCTGTCATTCCCTACAAATAAAGCTTTGTTCTGGGATACAGAAAAACACCCGCAATTTACATATTGGACTGCTTTTAAATTTGTACTCTTTGTTTTTTTAGATTGTCCAAAACTTCGTAAACAAATACTATATGGATTGGATTTTGTAAACTAGTACTGTGATTTTTCATTCGTTGATTTAGTTAATAGCTCGTTTGATTTCCAAAAGGTTTCAACCTCCATTTGGAGATTGATGAATGGTGATGCTTTCTTTGATGAAAATGGCCAAGGGTGTGAAATGAAGCATGTGTAGGTAGTTTATGGGGATAAAGCAAATGCATTAATGGAAAGGTTGTTGTCCCTTATATCTTCTGCTTCGTAAGGCTATTCAATGTCATCAACTCCTCCAATATATTATCGTTAACCGTCTTTTAAAATAATTTTTAACACTTTTAAAGTCGTTGAAATATTACTTATTATTTGATTGAACTCGAGTCTAGAGTTGTAGTTTACAATTAAGATTTTTCAAATAATTCTATTTATTTAAGTATTCGGTATCAACAATTATTTGACATTTAACAAATTTAATATCAGTTTATTAACTGAGAGACTTGATTGGCATACATCAATAATTTAAAGATGAAATTGAAATAATATAAATTTTTAGTACTAATAAAGAATCAAAGATATAATTTATAGGTATTTAATGTAATTAATTTTAAATTATTTTATCACGATAATTAAAAATTATAGATACTTAAGTCTATTGTATTTTGTACCTTCACAAAAATAATAATCAATGTATTTTGTGTTATGATTATTTATAAGATCAAGTTTAAGTTTTATATATAAATTATATTTGATTTTTTAAATTTTAAAATTGATAAAACTCTAACTTAATTAGCATTATTGCTATTATAACACTAATGATTATATATGTTTGAATATGTTTAAATTTATATTATTATTTGATTTATGGATTTATAAAATAATTAAAAGAAAATAAATAAACTAATTAATTTAAATATAGAAATACATCAATAAATTTAAAATATAATTAAAAAACAATCTTAAAGAAAAATATATATATAAAAAGAGATTAGTTCTGTTGTACAACAGTCTTAATATTTCCAATAAAATATTACTTAAAACATTATTTTTTCTACCGGAAATGTTAATTTCATTACCTAATTTATGGTAGAAAAAATAATGTTTTAGCGGTAAAAAATAATATTTTAAATAATATTTTACCAAAATATTAAACATTTTAGATAACGGCTAATATTAATATTTCTAATAAAAATAATATTTTATTAAAAATAATAAAAATATTAATATTTTTAATAACGTATTTTATTAGTCATATATGAAGATGTTTATATGAGACATCCACATAAAAAGAGAGGGTGTGTCCGTGGCTTAATTTGAGCGCTGTCGGTCAATTTCATTAGCTGACCCACTCTTTTAATTATTTCGACGTTTTGCCCAAGGCAAAAGGCCAAGGAAGTTTACAAAAGAAAGTTCAAAGAACCCATAAAACGATGTCGTAGTGAAACCCAGTAAAACAAAGAATATTTCCCAACACTTTGGAAACCTCCCCAACATTACAAAACCCCGAAATTACTCCCATTTTAAAACAGAACACTACATCACATCCCCCCATATAAGGTCAAATCCGACATTTCAGCAGTTTCCCAGCTAGGAATAGCAAAACATTGTCAGCGTTTTGAAATTTTCGCGGGGAGATGTGGAGGCGGTCTATGCGATAATGACTTGGCGAACAGGTTTTCTTCTCTCTTTTTCCTCCTCCTTTCTATTATTTTTTAATTTTTCCCCTTCGAGAATATCAGAGAATATCAATTTTTCCTTCATTTTCTTATGGAAAATATAAGTATAAGAAATCAAAATCGCTGTCTTATGTCTTCACCGCACGCGCTCTGATCCGATCTCTTTGATTCCCTCCAGTTGCGCCGCCGTCTCGACCGCAGCTCGAGCTTAGGGTTTCTAGTTGAAGGATTATATATTTATTAGCATATTAGGTAATAAATCTCTTAATTTTTCCTTTCATGAAATCTTTTAGTTTTTTAATGATTTTTCGGTTTATTTTATTTTCCTGCTTTTGAATTAGCTGGTATTAGCTTTGTTATATTAGAGATCCTTTGCGTTTTTATTTTTTTCCTCCTTTTCGTTAATTAACTTGGAAGCGGAAACGATGTGATTTTTTTTAGTTATCGCATTGGTGGTCGTGTTCGGTTTATAATATTTTTTTCATTTTTTGCAACTCATCTAATAGTCGAAGTAGGTAGTTGAATTTTGAAGATTTAAAGGATATTTTTTCGTTCTGATTGGTTGCTGTAAATCAAGAGGAAGACTCATGTGTTCACTTTTGTATGTCTGATACCTCTGTTTCTGGTTCACTTTTCCATTGCGTCATATTTGTATGGGGGCTTTAATTTAGCTGATTGATTTCTTATTCAAAGCCATCTTATAGGTTTTAGTTTTCATGAAGCAAATAAAATTATTTTAGTGAAACAGAATATCTGAAATGCTGAGTAAATGTTTCTATATGAATTTAAGATTGTTTGACCTGTTTATTTTTTATTGTCACAATTTTTCTGGTTGCTGATTGAGTGATTGGAAGACGGAACACACTTTTTTTTGGCTATGTTGGTTCAGGGACTTTGTCTTTAGGGTTTGGATGGTTCTAGTTAGCTCACAGTTCCCATTAGAGGCAGGAGGAAATCATTGAAGTTTAGGTTGTAATTAGGTCACTCGAACTGACAGTTAACAACTATGGGTGATTCTTATCTAGTTTATGGAATGTAGAATGTTCTCACATGTTGCAACAATGATATTTTCTTCTTTCTCTCTCCTTCTGGTTATTCTTCTAAGAAAATTATATGTATGGGTTTATTGACTTTAGCTTTTGTTTTTGGTAATCCAGAGCCATGCCAACGTTTTCTGCTATAGCTTTGGATAGGTTGTTAGAACCTGGAACTTCAGAATCTGTTGACAAGTCTGGTCCTAATATGAAACCACCTTTGCCCAAGCCAAAGCTTATAACCAATTTGAAGCTAGAGAGTAGGAAAAGTGCATCAGTAACTGAAAGGAAGGTTAATCATCCCCAAATATCATTACCTGCCCTCTATGCCACTCCTGAGACAACTCCACTACCCGATTCACCATCTTCGTTCTCTCCATCACCTTACATTATTAATCACAAACGCCGCGGGCCTCGCCTTTTGAAGAGCTTTTCTGAAAACAACGTATCAACTCGGAAGAAAACCACTGAAGAAAGTGAGGTTAATGGGAAGGCAGAGCTTATAGAAACCATGTCCGTTGATCTATCTAAGGATGTTTCTATTAGTTTTAGCATTCATAAACCTGATGAAGAGGAGCATGAGAATGGTGTCAATAATGGTCCTATTAAAGTAGAGCAGGCAAATGGTTTCCATGCTAGCTCCATTCAAGATAATCACATGAATGGTGTCCATTATGGTGAATTTGGGAGCAGTAATATAGCAGTTGGAAGCAGGCGAATGAATAATGGTATGGCCAGTGATTTTGCTTCGCCAAAGCTTGTTTCATTGAACTTGAACAGAGGTGATGAAAGTGAAGATTTCTTTGATCCAATGGATTCCATGAGCGCCACAACTAATACCAATGGAGATGATGAAAGTGCTGTTAGGCTTGGTACCTCAGGGGTTGAGTTTTTTGATGCCTGGGATGGTATGTAGAGTTTTATTTTCTTCTGAATATGATCATGGATAACTGCATATGTTTCAATGTAGGGTTGCTGAAAAACAAATTTCTTGCATGTTGCTAATTTTTTCATTTAAAACCTGCTGTATCTACTTCGTCTGTGATATTATGATATGTGCTAGCCTTTGTTTAAATGTCTTGATTACATTAAGACTTAACAATGAAAAGGCCATGTATAAAAGTCATATTATAGTTTTTTCTATGTTCATGTGTGCATGTGTGTCCAGTATGTCTGGATGGAATACGACACTTTTTTTGAAATATTGGGAACTATGAAAATTTTCCCATAGATACAGCTTAATTTGGAATAGGGATGATTTTGTGGTTGTTTTAGCAATTTTACTTTGATTTCTTGTTTCCTTCAGAATTATCCTCTGAGAGTGGTACACAGCCTAGCTATCGTGATACTGAAGCTGAAGTGCGAGAAATAAGATTGAGCTTATTCATGGAAATAGAAAAGAGGAAGCAGGCAGAAGAGGCTCTAAACAAGCTGCGATGTGTGTGGAAAAGAATGAGCCAAGAGTTGGCTATTGTGGGATTGTTACTGCCTGCAGATCCTATTGATGTGACAGATGATGATCTGGTGAAACAGGCTGAAGAGATGAGGCAGCAAGCAGATATTGCACGATTTGTATCATTATGTGTTGGAAGGGGCATTGCAAGGGCAGAGTTGGAGACGGAAATGGAAGCTAAAATTGAGTCAAAGAACTTCGAAATTGCGCGATTATGGGACAAACTACACTATTATGAGGCCGTAAATCAGGAAATGTCTCAGAGGAACCAAGAGGCTATAGGTGAGTGCCATATCCTAATTTACTTTCATTTGCGTAACTAGTTGTTTTGGAAAATGTAACACATATCTTCAACTAGTTTCTTTAGTTTGATTCTCTTTGTTGAAATTTGCTGCAAGCGGGGGCTTTACCCATGAATATAATGCAATTGAGTTTATGTTATCTGATTCCGTTTTTACCAATTATCTTTGTTTCTACAGAGATGGCACGGCGAGAGAGACAAAGGAGGAAAAGGAAGCAGAGATGGGTTTGGGGTTCAATTGCAACTGCAATTACCCTTGGGACTGCAGCCTTGGCTTGGTCTTATCTTCCATCAGGTAAAGGATCATCTCCGGGTGATGTTCCTCAAGCCTCGGATCCTGCTGCTGATGTGGCAAATTGATTATTACCTTCAATCACTAAAGCGCGAGAACCCATCATTGTGGCAAAGCGAATGAGATGTTTACGTTCATTCCTGCGAATAGCAGTCGAAACTGCCATGAGCCATCGGAGGATGTGCAGTACCGTCAATAATAAATCGAGTTGTTCCTTAGTAGGCTGTGAGTTGATGAATTATCAAAATTATGTATCGTTACTTGTTAACCAATTTTGGCCTAGCGTGTGCGTAATGCACGTAAAACCTTGTTGGATTTGTTTTAAATGTCTTGTAATAGATTCAGCCAGAGATATACTTCCAGTGCAGCAGGACATTTCAGTGATAAGGCACAGCATGTATGAATCTTTTAACTTCCTGTTTAGTGAATGAAGTTTGTTTGGGATGTTCCAGCAACTGTATCTCATCTTTCAAATATGCAATGAGTTTGTACTGGATATGAATACGTGTCCGTCAAGATAATTTAGTTCGCTTCTTGTTGTTTGAAACTGCTATGGTGAGACCAAAACAAGGAAATACAGCAGAGCTGTATCTCTGGGGCTTGGGAAAGTTGGGGCTGTAAATGAACCTGATGTGTTTGTATTCTTTTGTTTAATTTTGAAAATATATATGTTCAGTTTGTATTTGTTTGTATATTTTTTTTAAAGGCACACCTGCTGGTTTAATAGGGATATATTAAGTTTTAATGTTGATTTATATGTTCGATTAACATGATTTTTGGGTGGTTCATAACTCTCTAAGACTTGGGTAAAGCTGCAAGGGCGTGGCTGAATTAATACCAAGGGATACAGGTTTAAGCCTCCCTCTCCTACCAACACTCTTCTTATCATATTCATTTATTTTGTAAAAAAACTTTATATGAATAATTTAACGAACTTTAAGAAGAGTGACCAAGAAAGTGGAAGTGAGATAATGAGTAGAGGGATAAATTTAGAAACAGATCTATATAACCCAAATCCTTAACGGTAGCAAGGAGCTAATCAGTAGTTAACATACAACAATTAGTCAGCACTTAGTTTTTGTAGTAGCATACAACCGAGACCATAGACGAGCAGCTCGTTAACAGTGATCACGCGAGAAGTGCTTTAAGAGCACGTCAAGTTAAAATGACTAGACGCCAACCCAATTTTGGAGTAATCTGCAAACATCTTGCATTAACGTGTCAATCTGCATTTCCTCAACATCTTTCTGAAAGTTTCTACATAGCATCCTAGTTCGAGTCCATTGATTTCTTACTTAGACCGCATTTTCGACCAGTTAGTAAACACTGAATCAGTTCTGGGAACTGTTGGAAAACATCATGACAGACAAATTGTCTAGATGAGTTTGAAACTCTTGAGATGAGGAGTCAAATGACTTGTATTAGTTTATCTTTATAAAAACATAAATACAGAGTTCATCTTTCATCCTTGAGCCAATATTGAATCACGTATACAAGAAAACCTAGGCCAATCCAGCACAAGCCAGAAGAACAATTACCCTTACCAACAACGAGGAATTAAATGCTTCCAAAACAACTGCATCCCATGAAATGTACCACAAAATTGAGAAAATCGAACCTACGACAGCACCCACAATAATTTGATTGATCGTATGAAGCTTTTGTGACACTCGAAGCCATGACTGCGAACCAGAAAGACACACCAAATTAGATAACGTTTTTCACAAGCTTACAAGCATCAATGCTTTCCGCTTTTTAATTTAACTTTTAGGATTTGTGCACTCACAAAATATGAACCGAAAGCCAGAGCCAGAACGGAGATGCACACTGAAAATTCATTAATTCCCTGCCATTCCAAAACTGTGAAACACCAACATACAGAATTAAAACATCCTTCACTCAATTTTGTATTGAAATCCCAACTTGCAATCTTAATGCAAAGTGGAGGATGGAGGAGTGTAATGCAAGGGTTTACTTGAAGCAATAGTGAAGACGACAGTGAAGAAAATGGATTGGGTATGAGAAGATGGCATCCCCGGATCGGACTTAAGCCCTGCAACTGGCCGCTCTTGGTTCAGGACGCGTTTCAGCACAACCGAGAGCAACGCATTCACAATCGAACCCATCGCCATCCATAAAGCCTCCGCGTCGTGCCTCCAAAGTATCACTCCACCGAACAAAGCCGCCGCCACCAACCACTTGCTCTATCATTTCCAAATAGCCAGCCAAAAAAAAAACTTCATTAAATATTGAAAACAAATATGCATCCTAATACTGGATATGAGATAAATATACTCACCAAACGATTCAAAGTGGCCTCGAAACTTTGGACCCGAATTGATCCGGCAATGAGACTTTCTTGTTCAACTTCGAGCACCTGAATACCATCGTCTCCGTCCCTGGAGTCCTTTAACACCAAAGTTTTAATCATAGTTCTTGAACGGTCCCGCAACCCAATTTTCTCGGTCAAAATCCCTCCAAGAAAACTAGTTTTCCGGGTTCGTAGACACAGGGAAAATTCTGGGTCAAAGGGTTTATAAAGCTTAGGTGAAGAATTACGCTTGAATTTAAAGAGTAGGGGCTGGAAAGGAGTTGAAATCGAAGACATGTTTTTGGGCGACGATGAAAGGAAACGAATTACAAGTGTAGATTAGATGCATGGTTTTATTTAATGAAATTTGTGAGATTTCTGTAAAACGTGTGGACTGTGGTCAGGGAAGATGATGTTTCTTTATTAGTGTAATAAATGGATGTGAAAATTCCAAGGATGTTGGTCTCATACGAACGACAGATTCTATACCAGAACTTTCCCAATCATCATTTTGTCATGTCTCACATGTGTATATGTTTATTATAACCATCGATCAAATTAAAATTAAAACAGTTAGATGTTAGACTGATTAACAATTAATAACTTTTTTTGAAAAAAAATACTATTATTTATATTATATTATATTATATTATATTATATTATATTATATTATATTATATTATATTATATTATATTATATTATATTATATTATATTATATTATATTATATTATATTATATTAAGTCAATACTTGTTAAGAATTAAAATTCAACTATTTTTAATCACATTAAATTCACTAAACTTTCTAGATTTAATTAAATTTTAACTCAATGAAAAGAATATTTCTATTAATTTCAAATTAGTCTAATTAAAAAAATCGAACGAATTTATGTTAAACCAAAAGTTAATTCAACTTTATTCAATTTGATTAATAGTTTAACTTTTTAATTTAATTAAGGATTTAAAATTTTTAATCAATTCAACTTTAATTAATTTAACTTGATCACCAATAAAATTAAAGGGTAAGGTACACAAATGATCTCGACTATAGGGTGCTACTTTGTTAAGTCTCCGACTATTAAAAGTTTTAAAATGATCTCTTGACTATAGTTACTACTTTGTTAAGTCCCTTTACTATTGAAAGTTACAAAATGATTCCTCGACTATTCATATATTTCAAATTCATCAATTTTTTGTTAAAACATTGACGACAATCAAAGGTAGACATCAACCTATTGATTATGATATGATAAAAATATGATTCCAAAATTTCAAACAACTATCATCTCCTAGTCAATAGCTTAATTTCAGCTCAATCTGCCATCAATTTTTAACAGAAAGAGGCGACTTTAGAATATATAAATAGTTGGAGGACCATTTTATAAATTTTAATCATCGGGACTCAACAAAGTAATTCCTTGCAATTAGAGGACCATTTTATAACTTTTAATAATTGAGAAACTCAGTAAAGTAATACCCCATAATTGTGGGATCATTTGCGTACTTTACCTAATATTAATCAATTTTATCAAAACTGGACCGGACCCGCCGGTTTGACCGGGAATCTGTTGTCTGTCAGTCTCCAAAACCAGTTTTGCAATAAACCGCTAAAGAATCAGTAGAATCGGTTGGGAACCGGCAAAACAGGTGTGAACCAGCGGTTCACACGGTTCTGTTTTTTTTTAAATTAAACCAAACGACGTCGTTTGTTATGATTTTTTTCAAGTTCAAAGTGATGTTACAGAGTTTCAAGCTAAAAGTGGTGATGTCGATGGTAGTTCAACTAATGAAGAAGTTTTTCCCAATATTTTGGAATTCGAGGGAATCAATGTAACACCCTCAACCTGTACCCGACCCGGATACGAGTCCGAGATGTCACATTGACTTTTTAAATCAATATTCTTACAAAATATAAAACATTTGAACTCATATTAAGAAAATACAATAATATACTATTAAATTATGTTCGTTATAAAGTTTTAAGGCAAAAACGTATTTATGAACAGTACCGTGAACAGTACTGAATGCTAAATTTTTTCCAGATTGCTTCAGGGGTACGATACCCTGTTACAGGGTACCGATACCCTGCTACAGTACTCCTACAATATTGCTACAATATTTCCGTAAAACATACATAAAACTCGTAAAAATCTTACCGTTCATTACTATACATTTACATAAATACGTTTAAAATATTACAAAACTTGATCAGTGCATAAACTTAATTTATCGACTTTGTTTACATGTCAACCTATTTTCACATAATAAGACATACTATTTAATCTACTTTTGATCTTACCTTCAAGTGGAGTTATGTTGTTTTGCTGAGCTTATAATGGATCTCTCTGCTTTTCAGTACATACGTGTAAAACACTTACACGCTAAGTCATAAACTTAGTGAGGCATAACATATAATAATAATGATGCATTTCATATACATATAAAAGTATCATCTACTTATTCAATCATGTAATATATAATTCCATATAAATAATAATAACATGATAACATGTAATAATGCAAACACTTTTTATACCTTTTGTAATCCCATGTACATTACTGAGAACTCAAGGTATTCGAGTACATTGATGTTGTGCACTAGGGGCATGTGAAATTTGTCCCGAAGAACCTCTGTATATGTCCCGAAGGACCGCGTAGACCCTCGACTCTTGGCATACCAACTATACCTATAGCTCTCATATCATATACCATGGGCATTTATTTTTATGTCTCATATGTTCATGTACTCATGTCATTTATCTTGAGATCACATATACCTTTTCTTATGTCACATACCACATGTATGTGTAAACATCTATGTCATTTCATATAACATGTAATACATATTGCATATTCATGTAAGCATGTATATCATGTCACATATAATATACTATACCCATTTTCATGTATTCATACTCATATAAGAATCACAAATCAAATAATATTTTAGGAGTCACTTATTACCATAGTAACTTCATCATTGGCTCATCGCAAGCCAATGTTCATTCAATAGCATAAGTACAATTAAAATTGCACTCACATTAGCCTTGCTTTCTTTGAATAAATCCTAATCCTTCGATTGTTCCGTAATTCGTTTAGGCTCTGTATCTGCATAAATATAATTTTCAAGATGATTATCAAAAACCTAAACCTTATAATTTGATACTAATAGCTTAAACGACTTAATGAATCAATATTAATTTTTTTCCCTTAGGGGGTATCGATACCCTCCTTGAGGTATCGGTACCCTTACTACATTCTATTATTTTTCGTTCAAGGGGGTATCGGTACACATACATAGTTTGCCGATACACTCTGTCCAAAACAGGCTTTTTCACCAGAAAATTCATCAATTCTTCACTGAAATTTCTTATACAAAGCTCCTTTCATATCACCAAACTCGACTACAATCATTTTAACTAACTTATATCATTCCGACGCTTTATTATCTCGCATACTTCATTCAAATTCTTAAAGCTAAGAATCATACCAAATTTTTCATGTTATCCAAACTTATTTCTAACACTTATAATTTATTATTCACACCAATGACAAGTCAAATTCCATCTCAAAGTTCATTTATTAACTATTTTTCAGAAATTCACTTTGAAACCCATTCTCTTTAATCTTTCCATAACTTCTTCATCTTTTGATTATAAAACAACTTAAGTTTTCCTTAAGCTTAAGTATCACCTAAGGATCAAAACCCACTCTTGAATTTTGAGAATTAACCAAAAGAAATTAAACTTACCTTGGCTTGGAAGATGATGAATTGTCTAGAAACTATGTTTCCCCAATTATGATTCACATGGGTATTATAATACTCAGTAATTATTATTTAATTATTTTTCTTGTTCAATGACACATTTACCCTTTTACTTCTCCTTCACTTATTAATTCATCCTACACCAAATACTTCAATTAAATCCTTGAATTTCTCAATTTATCTAATTTGGTCACTGAAATTTTAAAATTTCACACTTTAGTCACTAACCCGATATTGAGGATGTTACAATCAATTTCAATGAATATTATGATGTTTGATACTTGTATCAATTATGTACTTTTTTTATTTAGGGTCTGTTTGTTTACCTTAAAATGAATTACGGAATTGGTTTTTCCCGAAATCTCGTGTTTGTTTCATGTAATCCGTTTTTCGGAAAATGTTTTCCCGTGTTTGTTTCACGTAATTCGTTTTCCGGAAAATTTTTTCCGGTGTTTGGTTGGAGGAAAACTGGTTGGTCAACGTAATTTATTTTCCTGATCAACATAATTTCCTTTATGTTTTCTGGAAAATGACTTACGGTCTGATTTTCCGTAAGTTATTTTCCGAACTTTTCACTTCAAAGAATAAATACTCAAAATAATTTTATTTTATGAATTTAATATTAATAAAATATTTTAATATCATTTTCATCAAAATATTAATTATTAAAATATTTAAAATATATTTATTATATTTATATAATATAATATTATATTTTTAATATTATAATAAAATTATTAATTATATTATAATAATATAATATAAGATATTATATTTTTATTTTAATAAATATATAATATTTTTTATATATTTAATAATGAATAATATTATTTATATATTTAATATTAATATAATAATCTAATAATATTTTAATAAAGATATTTAAAATATACTAATTAATATTTTTAAAATATAATATAACACTATTACTTTAATAAATAATTAATATAATTTATAATATTTTTATTTCAATAAAATATACCAATATTAATATTTTTATTAATAAAATTATAAAAATAATATTTAATAATAAATAAATTATTTTAATATTTTAAAATAATAATATTAAGTTTGATGATAAATAATATTTTTTATTATATTTAATATTTGTAATAAATATTTTTTTAAAAACACATCAACAAGTGGAAAAAGGTTTAAATAACATCTTCCAAACATCATAAAATGTTTTCCAGATGTTTTTCAGAAAAATATAATTCATTTTACGGAAAATATTTTCCGAAAAACGTTTTCTAAAAATGTAATACATTTTCCAAAATTCAAATTTCAGTAATTCATTTTTCAGTAATTCATTTTTCATAAAATCAATTACAGCCAAACAACAGACCCTTAGTTGTTGATGAATTTCATTAGGTATTGACCTTAAATATTATGTTGTAGTTGATTTGAATCATTTTGTTTCACTTGATATTATTATATTTAACTTATATATGTCATGACTTGTGATACTTTTATACCTTTTAATATTGTGAACTTAAAAATAGTATTATATATATATATATATTAATCACGGTTGAACCGGTACCTTCATCAGTTTAAGATCCGGTCCAGTTTCAAAAACATTGATATTA